CTGGTCGGTTAAGGTTACTTGATTTTATTTTTTTAATTCATTTTTGGATTCCTATTTGTATAAATTAATTACAGTTTATGTATCCTATTTGTCATGTAAAAATAGTTGTTTTTTTGATTTTACAATAGTCAGTTTCTTAATCGACTATGTTTATATCGCATAGACGATTAATATATCTGATAGAGAAAAAAAAATTAAAAATGAAAAAAAAATTAAAAAATTAAAAGAATTAAAAAAATAAAAAAAATAAAAAAATTAAAAAAAATTAAAAAATAAAAAATAAAAGTTTAAAAAGGATTGGAGAGGAATCTCAATAAATTGTGTCAAACTCGCACATCAACCTATGTAGTCATATAGAGTCATATGTACATATAAGATCTATAGGTTTTTTATAATGCACAGTGAAGCTAATGATTTGTTATAGTTGAAAATTTTGCACATCTGATTATTGAATATATATTGTGGGATACTAGTTACTTGTAATAACAACATTCAAAATTGTCTATTTTTTTAATGTTGATTGGATTTTTTGTAAATAATAGTCCTTTTATTATATAAATTAATAAATATGACTGTACTACATTATATAATCGAAAATGTACAATTTTAGGTTGAAAATGTAAAAAAAAAAAAAAAAAAAAAAATCAATGGGCCCCAGAGACGATAGACTACAAATCAATGGGCTAAAGCCTATAAACACAGTAATTAAAAAAATTTATATATATATATATATATATATATATATATATATATATATATATATATATATATATATATATATATATATATATATATATATATATATATATATATATATATATATATATATATATATATTTTTATATTTCCCCTTTTTGTGTTACGCAAATCACTTTAGACACATCGCTATAGATATATTTGAAGGGGGGGGCGTTGGATCTCACACTCACCACTTTTTTTTTGGGCGCCCTCTCTCTCTCGTGAGAGAGAAGTGTATTATTAAACACAAATATCACACACACACACGTTAAACATAGTGTGCACTTATATACAATAGACCTACCCACCCGCATATCCCATAAATGTGAAAAACACACAACAATTATCATCCCCCCCCTCTCTCTCTCACCCTTAGGCCCCGTGTGGCTGGCAAGATAATATTAAATACTCGAGAGACACTCTTTTTTTTTGGGGGAGCGCGCCACACTCAACAAAAAAAAAACCCCTCTTTAAGACACCACATACCCCAAGAGAGCGCGAGATACCCCGTGTTTATATTTTTGGGGGG